GGGTGTCTGGGGGTGCACAGCGCATCTGGGTGTCCAGGATGCCCAGGGTGTCCGGGGGTGCTCAGCGCGTCTGGGGGTGCACAGTGAGTCTGGTGTCCGGGGCGCGTGTCAAGCCCAGGGCGTGCGGGCTGGGGGCAGAGATGTGAGGCGCGTGTCCGTGCGTCTGCGGGGCTGTGCACCAGCCGGGTGTGCGCATGCGTGTGCAGGTGTTGTGTGCGGGTAACCTGTTGGAAAGACACACACGTGCATTGCGCGTCAGCGTGTGCTTGTGGGTAAGGCTGCATGCGGTGACCTGTTGGGGTGTGTGCACACACGAGGGCACAGGTGGATGATGTGTCAGGGTGTGTGCACACGGGAGCGGCCTGTGCACAGGGTGCATGTGCACCCGTGAGGCCACACGTGCAAGGCCCATCGAGGCGCGTGCGCGTGTGTGTGTGTGCGTGTGTGTGTGTGTGTGCGCGCGTGTGTGTGTGCGCGTGTGTGCGTGCGCACATGCAAGGTGGCGGGTGCACAGCCTGTTGAGGCATGCACACCCCCGCGGTGCAGCGTGTGCACAGCCCGTCAAGGTGTGCGCACACCCGCGAGGCCGTGTGTGCATGACACATCGAGGTGTGCGCACACCTGTGATGCAGCGTGTGCACAGCCCGTCAAGGTGTGCGCACACCCGCGAGGCCGTGTGTGCATGACACATCGAGGTGTGCGCACACCTGTGATGCAGCGTGTGCACAGCCCGTCAAGGTGTGCGCACACCCGCGAGGCCGTGTGTGCATGACACATCGAGGTGTGCGCACACCTGTGATGCAGCGTGTGCACAGCCCGTCAAGGTGTGCGCACACCCGCGAGGCCGTGTGTGCATGACACATCGAGGTGTGCGCACACCTGTGATGCAGCGTGTGCACAGCCCGTCAAGGTGTGCGCACACCCGCGAGGCCGTGTGTGCATGACACATCGAGGTGTGCGCACACCTGTGATGCAGCGTGTGCACAGCCCGTCAAGGTGTGCGCACACCCGCGAGGCCGTGTGTGCATGACACATCGAGGTGTGCGCACACCTGTGATGCAGCGTGTGCACAGCCCGTCAAGGTGTGCGCACACCCGCGAGGCCGTGTGTGCATGACACATCGAGGTGTGCGCACACCTGTGATGCAGCGTGTGCACAGCCCGTCAAGGTGTGCGCACACCCGCGAGGCCGTGTGTGCATGACACATCGAGGTGTGCGCACACCTGTGATGCAGCGTGTGCACAGCCCGTCAAGGTGTGCGCACACCCGCGAGGCCGTGTGTGCATGACACATCGAGGTGTGCGCACACCTGTGATGCAGCGTGTGCACAGCCCGTCAAGGTGTGCGCACACCCGCGAGGCCGTGTGTGCATGACACATCGAGGTGTGCGCACACCTGTGATGCAGCGTGTGCACAGCCCGTCAAGGTGTGCGCACACCCGCGAGGCCGTGTGTGCATGACACATCGAGGTGTGCGCACACCTGTGATGCAGCGTGTGCACAGCCCGTCAAGGTGTGCGCACACCCGCGAGGCCGTGTGTGCATGACACATCGAGGTGTGCGCACACCTGTGATGCAGCGTGTGCACAGCCCGTCAAGGTGTGCGCACACCCGCGAGGCCGTGTGTGCATGACACATCGAGGTGTGCGCACACCTGTGATGCAGCGTGTGCACAGCCCGTCAAGGTGTGCGCACACCCGCGAGGCCGTGTGTGCATGACACATCGAGGTGTGCGCACACCTGTGATGCAGCGTGTGCACAGCCCGTCAAGGTGTGCGCACACCCGCGAGGCCGTGTGTGCATGACACATCGAGGTGTGCGCACACCTGTGATGCAGCGTGTGCACAGCCCGTCAAGGTGTGCGCACACCCGCGAGGCCGTGTGTGCATGACACATCGAGGTGTGCGCACACCTGTGATGCAGCGTGTGCACAGCCCGTCAAGGTGTGCGCACACCCGCGAGGCCGTGTGTGCATGACACATCGAGGTGTGCGCACACCTGTGATGCAGCGTGTGCACAGCCCGTCAAGGTGTGCGCACACCCGCGAGGCCGTGTGTGCATGACACATCGAGGTGTGCGCACACCTGTGATGCAGCGTGTGCACAGCCCGTCAAGGTGTGCGCACACCCGCGAGGCCGTGTGTGCATGACACATCGAGGTGTGCGCACACCTGTGATGCAGCGTGTGCACAGCCCGTCAAGGTGTGCGCACACCCGCGAGGCCGTGTGTGCATGACACATCGAGGTGTGCGCACACCTGTGATGCAGCGTGTGCACAGCCCGTCAAGGTGTGCGCACACCCGCGAGGCCGTGTGTGCATGACACATCGAGGTGTGCGCACACCTGTGATGCAGCGTGTGCACAGCCCGTCAAGGTGTGCGCACACCCGCGAGGCCGTGTGTGCATGACACATCGAGGTGTGCGCACACCTGTGATGCAGCGTGTGCACAGCCCGTCAAGGTGTGCGCACACCCGCGAGGCCGTGTGTGCATGACACATCGAGGTGTGCGCACACCTGTGATGCAGCGTGTGCACAGCCCGTCAAGGTGTGCGCACACCCGCGAGGCCGTGTGTGCATGACACATCGAGGTGTGCGCACACCTGTGATGCAGCGTGTGCACAGCCCGTCAAGGTGTGCGCACACCCGCGAGGCCGTGTGTGCATGACACATCGAGGTGTGCGCACACCTGTGATGCAGCGTGTGCACAGCCCGTCAAGGTGTGCGCACACCCGCGAGGCCGTGTGTGCATGACACATCGAGGTGTGCGCACACCTGTGATGCAGCGTGTGCACAGCCCGTCAAGGTGTGCGCACACCCGCGAGGCCGTGTGTGCATGACACATCGAGGTGTGCGCACACCTGTGATGCAGCGTGTGCACAGCCCGTCAAGGTGTGCGCACACCCGCGAGGCCGTGTGTGCATGACACATCGAGGTGTGCGCACACCTGTGATGCAGCGTGTGCACAGCCCGTCAAGGTGTGCGCACACCCGCGAGGCCGTGTGTGCATGACACATCGAGGTGTGCGCACACCTGTGATGCAGCGTGTGCACAGCCCGTCAAGGTGTGCGCACACCCGCGAGGCCGTGTGTGCATGACACATCGAGGTGTGCGCACACCTGTGATGCAGCGTGTGCACAGCCCGTCAAGGTGTGCGCACACCCGCGAGGCCGTGTGTGCATGACACATCGAGGTGTGCGCACACCTGTGATGCAGCGTGTGCACAGCCCGTCAAGGTGTGCGCACACCCGCGAGGCCGTGTGTGCATGACACATCGAGGTGTGCGCACACCTGTGATGCAGCGTGTGCACAGCCCGTCAAGGTGTGCGCACACCCGCGAGGCCGTGTGTGCATGACACATCGAGGTGTGCGCACACCTGTGATGCAGCGTGTGCACAGCCCGTCAAGGTGTGCGCACACCCGCGAGGCCGTGTGTGCATGACACATCGAGGTGTGCGCACACCTGTGATGCAGCGTGTGCACAGCCCGTCAAGGTGTGCGCACACCCGCGAGGCCGTGTGTGCATGACACATCGAGGTGTGCGCACACCTGTGATGCAGCGTGTGCACAGCCCGTCAAGGTGTGCGCACACCCGCGAGGCCGTGTGTGCATGACACATCGAGGTGTGCGCACACCTGTGATGCAGCGTGTGCACAGCCCGTCAAGGTGTGCGCACACCCGCGAGGCCGTGTGTGCATGACACATCGAGGTGTGCGCACACCTGTGATGCAGCGTGTGCACAGCCCGTCAAGGTGTGCGCACACCCGCGAGGCCGTGTGTGCATGACACATCGAGGTGTGCGCACACCTGTGATGCAGCGTGTGCACAGCCCGTCAAGGTGTGCGCACACCCGCGAGGCCGTGTGTGCATGACACATCGAGGTGTGCGCACACCTGTGATGCAGCGTGTGCACAGCCCGTCAAGGTGTGCGCACACCCGCGAGGCCGTGTGTGCATGACACATCGAGGTGTGCGCACACCTGTGATGCAGCGTGTGCACAGCCCGTCAAGGTGTGCGCACACCCGCGAGGCCGTGTGTGCATGACACATCGAGGTGTGCGCACACCTGTGATGCAGCGTGTGCACAGCCCGTCAAGGTGTGCGCACACCCGCGAGGCCGTGTGTGCATGACACATCGAGGTGTGCGCACACCTGTGATGCAGCGTGTGCACAGCCCGTCAAGGTGTGCGCACACCCGCGAGGCCGTGTGTGCATGACACATCGAGGTGTGCGCACACCTGTGATGCAGCGTGTGCACAGCCCGTCAAGGTGTGCGCACACCCGCGAGGCCGTGTGTGCATGACTCTGTCCGTCCGTCCTGCCCCCTCTTCCCTCCTTCCATCCCACCTCTGCCTGTCCAGCCCCGACCCACAGGGAGGGCCTCGGGCTGTCTGTCCGTGCAGGCGTCTGTCTGTCCGTGCATCCATCCATGTGTTTGACCGTGCATCTGTCTGTGCGTCTGTGTGTCCATGCGTCCGCCCGTGTGTCTGTGAAGCTGCACGTGTCCATGTGTCCATGTGTGCATGCGTGTGTCTGTGAACCTGTCTGTCCGTGAGTCCGTCTGCGTGCCTGTGCGTCCATCCGTGGGGGTGTGTGTCCGTCGTCATGTCCACCTGCATGTCCGGGGATCTGTGTGTCTGTGCATCCATCCAGCCGTCTGTCTATGTGCCCATGAATCCGTCTGTGTGTCCGTGTGTTCGTTTACATGTCCGTGTGTCTGTCTGTGTGTCTGTTGGTCCATGTGTCGATGCATCCATCCACGTGTCCATGAGTCCGTCCCTGTGTCCATGAGTCTGTCTGGCTGTCGATGAGTCCATCCACGTGTCCATGCATCCACCCGTGTGTCCATCCACGTGTCTGTGCACCCATCCATGTGTCTCTGCATCTGTCCGTGAGTCCGTCTGCATGTCCGTGAGTCCGTTGGCATGTCCGTGCATCCGTCCACGTGTCCGTCTGTGCGTCCCTCGACGTGTCCGCGCGCCCATGCCTGAGCCGGGCTCTTGCAGAAGCAGCCGATGGGGGAGTTCCCGCACGACCTGGAGGGGGACGAGCTGGAGGACGACACCCCGCGGCGGAAAAACAAGGCCAAGAGCAAGGTGGGCGCTGGGGGGCCTGGGGGTCCCGGGGGACCCCGGGGGGCTACGCGCCCTGGACTCACCCCTGTCCCCCCCCCAGGCCTATGGCATCGGGGGCATGCGGAAGAGGCAGGATGCCACCACGCTGGAGGACCGGGACAAACCTTACGTGTGCGACAGTGAGTACAGCTGGGGGGCCCAGGCGTCCGGGTGGGACTCGACAGCACGGGGACAGAGATGGGACCACAGCACTGCAGGGATGGGCGCAGGTGTCCGGGCAGGACTCGACAGCACGGGGACGGGGATGGGACCGCGGCGCTGCAGGGATGGGCCCAGGCGTCCGGGCGGGACTCGACAGCACAGGGACAGAGATGGGACCGCGGCGCTGCAGGGATGGGCCCAGGGGTGCGGGAGGGCCTCGCAAGCACCGC